ATAACTTTGGTGGACGAGTCGGACATGTACAACTGGGAAGTAGCGATATTCGGACCCCCAAATACACACTACGAGGGTGGTTATTTTAAGGTGAGTGAGCTAATGTTAGCTAGCAGTCTTCTATTGTTCTTTAGCTGGTAGATTTAGCCTACATCTATTTTATTTTACTAACGGAGGACAGCCCAAAGGCTAACACCCCCCCCCCCCCCCCAAAAAAAAAAAAAATACCGTCCTCAACCACAGCAGGTAACAGTAACGTCAACTAGCTAACGTTAATTGACCGTTGTTTCTCCCTTAGCGTTACTGTGATAAGTCTCCCTTTCTTTGTTCAACTTTAAACCAACTCCACTCAAGTAGGATTATTAAATTTTAGTGTTACCATCATCAAAACATCAAAACTTTCTTTCATATGGCCTTGTTTCCCCTTAAAATAGGGATTCACTGAGGTAAAGTGGGTCGCTTTTTATTATAGTGACAGTCAGCACATGATCCCGTTTGACGGAGTTACTTTTGTGTTAACATGAAACAAAATGTTGGTAGCATAACCGGCTCAACCGTTTAACGTTAATATGGTTAGCCAAACTCGTCATATAACTAATTCAATCATTTACTTTTGTGTGTTTAGGTTTAACCATTACACATCAACAGCCCTATGTTGAATAGGACTTTAGTTTGTAACCTAAATTCAAGATTAACTCAAAGCAACCATCCACAATGCATAATTAACCTTGCTTTTGAAATGTCGACAGCCCCAATCTTAGCTTGTGGTAGCACGCAAGTCATTTCATTTGTTGTTTTTTTCCTACCATACTTCCTCCCTTGAGAGTGAAGAAGTGTTGGTTTCACAGATATGATGATCCTGTTTTTGAATATGCCTGTTGTTGGCACAGAGGGGTCGGCTCTAGTTGTTTTTCCCTTGCATTTAATGCTTGATTGTAAGACCTGTTTTGGAGTGACAGGAATGTCAGCTCAACTTTTATTTTCATGGCACCATGGCTGTGACCCTTTGACTGGTTGGTTGTATGGTTTTTGTCCTAAAGGTTAGCGCTACAGTACCTGATTTTAGACTCATTTTTAAATCTCACACTGAGCTATACACCCACATTGTAATCATAAAAGAGCATTGCATTTGTTGCCATAGCAGAGAGCCTACTGTTGATTTGGTGTCTAACCTAAGTGTGTGCGCACATGTGTGAAAATCAACTTCAGATATTGCAAAACAGAGAGGGGATTGTTGCTCACCCCACATTTTAAGTCCTATACTAATGTGGGTATTCATCCTATAAAGCACTTTGATATCTTACTTTGTCTGGCAAAGTCAAACAAACTACTGATAGCGCTGCTTCAAACTTGCCCTAGATATTTGCTATATTGGACATCAAGCAAAAAATAATGAGCTTTTATTAAGGTGGTATAATGGTTCTGTCTTTCTAAGAAAAAGACAAGAAAATATATAGGTCAGAGCTCTGAAAGAATATTTGAGCAGCAAACACAAATAACAACATACTCAAACACATGGTTTGTTTACAAGGGCTTTTTGTCATGTGCTCATAAAGTCCTGCGATAGCCATAGTTGTTTCCATATTACAGCTAGACTGTAATATATCAGTAAAAGGGTCCCACTGTGTTCACATGATCCAGCATATTGTTAACTGCGCTCTATTTTGGAAACCGTCATATCAGCTGTGATCCCAGTTCTTGAGAAGCGTGTTGATTTTGCCTCTGGTCTTTTTCAAGCCTGTGAACACAAGTGGAGGGCCCAGGCCAGGCTACCGTAGACGGTGTACAGTGTATTTGTGTGGGTGCTGTGTACAGGATTCCTTTGTCGGGCCAGGAATGCACAGCCTGGCTGTGAAATCCACAGCCTTGTTGTGACTCATTGTTATGTGCAGGGTTTCCATCCAACCTGTTTACCATATTCTAATGAAAAAAAGAAAAGAAAACACCCTATTCTGACCAGGTTACCCAAATGAACAAGCAGTTATGACATGCTGCTTGCTGCCCATTCATCCAATTCAGAGCAGGTAATGACTTCATGTGAAACCTGACTGAGTCAAGTATTTATTTCACATGGGTGTTGCTCTCAAAGAGTCACACCATGACGAATACATTTTGACTGAAGGCACACAGTGGACTGAGATATTGAAATGTCATTCGAACAACATGAGAGATCTGTCCTGGATTCACAAATCATATCTGGGCCTCACAATTGATGCTGAGATTCATTCATTAGGTCTGAGACATTTCGAAGCTTGAGGTCCTTAGTCTGTATGCCTTCTGCTTTGTCATGTGAAGTAATCCCTCCAGGCTCTGAGTGTCTGATGATTACAGGCAGAGGGCCAGTAAACCCCGGAGCCGGCCTGGGTCCCGGGACATGTATGAAGTAGCAGAGCAGATGAGTTGCCTGCCCTCAGAGTACAGACTTTGAGGAGTGTTTGGATGGTGATCCACTGTGCGTGATGATGTTGTACGCATTCAGTTTGAATTTCCAGCGACTGACTATGAGGTTTAAACTGTGTATTTTATGTAGTCAAGTAATAATAATAATAATAATAAATTGAATTTGTATCGTGCTTTTCTCGTACTCAAAGTCACTTTACAGATATTACAATATTAACCTCAGGCTTAAATATGAAAAACTTGGACTGTCCAGTTTGTCGACTTCAGCTGTATGGAGATCGTGTCACATAATCATGACCAAAACATTAAGTGTGCTTGTCATTTTCTATCTCAGGGTATTTTCTAGTAGATCTCTCGTCAGTTCTTTCCCTTTCGCTTTAAGATTTGTCTTCTTTTGTATTTTCTTAAGTCGAGGAAGTCTTACAAAAACCAAGAAGTGACTCTTACAGGTATTTATGAAATGATAGTCACCCTCCTATCAGCGTCACTCCACAACAACTTTCTTGTCTGTATTCAACATTTCATCTTGGAAAAGTGATGCACAATCTCTTGCCCCTACGTTTGTTTTCCTTTTTTTTAGATATTGGGATGTCTCCTTAAAATGATAAATTGCTGAAGAGCTACTTGTTTTTGATTTCCATCTCCAGTCAGTCTCCTCAGGAAATGCAATCTCACAATTTGACTGCTTGCAGTTTTGTCTGATACTTGCAATACATCTGCATTAAAATATCAAGACGCAACAACACTTGAAAATGAAGTGTATCGCAGCACTTTTCTGCATATTATGACTTGATCCGTAACTGTTACTTTGATTTCCGTAAAAATGAACTCCCTCTGCAGAAAGCCAATTACTTTACTTTCCAAGGGGCCTCTAACTGGCTCAACGTTTCTATTTTGCTGGAACTAATTAGAAAATTCTTATGTTGGTAACTGTTGAACTCTCAATTTGTCTGAATCAATACTTTAAAAAATGTTTTTATAATTATGTTGCTGTTACCATCTGTAAAGTGGAGGAACACAACACAAAATGAACTGCGTTTATTGTGCTTCTATGCTGATCGGCTTATTGGGTTTATAAAACAACACGGCCGGCCATAAAGACTTGTGCATGTCCATAAACTCCATTTGACAACTATGACATGGCTTTTTCTGTGCCACCAGAGGCTGTCAGTTCACATTTAGCAAATTTGACCTCTTCCTGCTTCGTTTTGTGTCGTGCACCAGATCAGCAGTAAAAGGCACTCTGCTCTGTATCCACAACTATGAGGTTTCACAGAGAAGTTTGTCTCAGTGATGTACAACAGAAACTTGTGTGTGGGCTGACAGAGCTGCACTGCACTGCTGTGGAAGAGCCTGGGATCTGTTTTGACGTTGTGCTGCGTCAGCACCTGGCAGCTTTAATTGTCATTTTTGTTGCCTATAATTATGAAGTGAATGGGGTCTCTGCAGCTCAAAATATACTGTAAAACAGAACATCTTTCATATCTCAGTCAAGTTTTTTTTCTTGAGTGGCTTACTAAACGCTGACAGACCTCTTCACAGCAAACATGAAGAAGAGGGGTGTTGCCTGTTGGTTTTGGCCCAGGCCTCTCTGTCTTTTTTATCCTCTGACAATCAGTCGACAAACACCCAGTTCTGTTGAGCAGCTCATTCTGTGTTCGTGCCTTATGCCCGACCTTCCTCCTCGGCTGCATGCTACATAATTTGTACTGGCTCCTTGTTAGCCTTGCAGCAGTGGCAGAGGGGGGGGGTACAGGCAAGACAACCCAACCCAGTTGCAGAGGGCTTGGCTGGGCCGAGCCCGACTGAGCCGCCGGAGTCATGTTTCCCCCTCTGGCTGTGTCACAGAGAAATGAGAGCAGGGCAGAGGAAAGAAGAGGGAATAGAGAAACGGCCAGATCAAGAGCAGACAGAGCCTTTCCTTGCAGTGGTGCCCCTTTTTGAAAGGAGAGCCTGCTGTTAATAGAGGTGAGTGTGAGGCGCCAGTATACAGTTATAACCATCCCCTGAAGCCCTGGCCATGTGTTCTTTTTCTTTCTGTATGGGCCACCAGTGTGGTACTCTTACCGCTGAAACATAGCTGTACATGCTGTGTTGCGAGCTGTTGCTGAGCTTGTAACATTGCTTTTTATCCTTTTCCTTCTCAACGCCCTCCTCCTGAGTTCAGTCCAATTAATGAGGCAGGGGCCTGTTGGGTATGAACATGATAATCGTGTGTGTGTGTGTGTGTGTGTAAGTAATTTGCTCTACTCAAGGACCTTTTTTCTCGACACTGAGTGTGAAGGTAAGGGCTGTAGAAGAGGTGCACAGGGAGAACAGAATGATTTGTTCTGTTCAGGGTCTTTGCATTGACCTGGTTTACTTCGCCTCGCTGTCATTTTTCCACAGGGTGGCTGTGTTCCCTCTCATTCTTGTTCTCTCTTCAAGGCAGCTTTTTAGCTCCCAGTCCAGGACAGATTCTCATAGAAAGTGGAAACTGGCCTTGGATTCTCCCTAACAAGCCTGTCTTGAGACATCAACGTTGAAAACCTTTGGCAAAGAATCATCTATCCGTCCAGTCTCGTCATTTAACTTCTTGTGATATCTTGGAAAAAACTCTGAAAAGCCAAACAGAACAACCCAACTCTATGGTGATACACGGGTAAATGGTACCAACTTCTCAACATTGCTGCTTTTTAGCACTTTGTCACGGGCAGAGATCTTGTTTGAGCTGCTGCTATGTCAAACAAAAAATCCTTCCCAGTAGTAGAGACTAAGTGAGTGGTGAGAGAAATATGAGTATATTATAGTGATAGACCAGTTGATTTGTCGGGCGATTAATCGGGTATTTAGAGATAATCTGCATTGGCCGATACCTGCATTCACGAGGCAGATAAACAAAAAATATCCGGACACATCTGCAGGCACTGCAGCCTGGTCAGTGTGGCTGCAGTGGAACAATGTTAGTGCTCCCCCCTTGCTAGTGTTAAATTGTAAAGAATAATGCAGCTGAATGACATCACTTCTGACAAACTGTACGCCACTCCCCCTTAAACACCAGTCACGTTCTGAAATCTCCAGCATAACCCAATGTATTTTTCTATTTCGTTAATTTAATCTTAAACAACATGTTACTGGCTAAAATAACGTGTATATTAGATTGTACTCAGCATCAAATAATGAAATTATACATGACTTTTCTTTGCTTTGATTGATATCAGCATTATATACAGTATTTCCCAAAAGTGAGTACACCCCTTACATTTTTTGTAAATATTTGATTATATCTTTTCATGTGATGACACTTTGCTACAATGTCAACTAGTGAGTGTAACAGTTTAACAGCTTGTGTAACTGCTGTCCCCTCAAAATAACACAGCCATTAATGTCTAAACCGCTGGCAACAAACCTCCAAGACGACCACTGCCTTGCTAAAGAAGCTGAGGATAAAGGTGATGGACTGGCCAAGCATGTCTCAAGACCTAAACCCTATTGAGCATATGTGGGCATCCTCAAACAGAAGGTGGAGGAGCACAAGGTCTCTAACATCCACCAGCTCTGTGATGTCGTCATGGAGGAGTGGAAGAGGACTCCAGTGGCAACCTGTGACGCTCTGGTGAACTCCATGCCCAAGAGGGTTAAGGCAGTGCTAAAAAATAATAGTGGCCACAGAAAATATTGACACTTTGGGCCCATTTTGGACATTTTCACTTAAGGGTGTACTCACTTTTGTTGCCAGCAGTTTAGACATTAATGGCTGTGTGATGTTATTTTGAGGGGACAACAAATTTACACTTTGATACAAGCTGTACACTCATTACTTTACATTGTAGCAAAGTGTCCTTTTTTCAGTGTAGTCACATGAAAAGATATTCAAATATTTATAAAAATGTGACTCACAAAAGGGAGTATACCCCTCACTGTATCGGCCTCACTGCTCTCTAAATATTGACATCAGCCATTGAAAAACCTATATTGGTCAACCACTTATATATAATACCGAAACAGGAACACAGATGGGTCTATTCAAATGTATATTTTACATGAGAACGATTTCCTGGTAACTCAAATGATTTTGGCTTTCTAAGACCCCTCTGCATCGTCCCCTCTCTTCTTTTTCTCGTCCCCTTTTGTTTGTCCTCTTTTGTCTTCTCTGTGCTGCAGAGCAAATGAGCCAACCAAGCAGCCTGCCTATGTTTAGGCCAGCTCGGTCACACTTCTCTACCCGATTCATCAATCCCCTTCCTCCCTCCATCAATCAATCCAAGGTTTGGTGTCACCTGGGTGAGCAGGTTATTGGTGGAAATTGCTCTGCACCAAACTCCATGGGTTTTTAAATCTATAGTTGGTGCGGCTAAACCCACAAGCAACACATGCATTTCCCTTCGTCTCTAGTCTCCCGACTTTGTCAATTTTGTTTTGATAGTGTCATAGAACAACAAATGGTAACTATTCATTGCTCGTACAGTTTGTGGCTTTGTGTTATGAGGAATTCGGTCTTAAAGCCTCCTGGTAAGCTGCATTGTGAAATCATGCTCTTACTGTCTTACAATGCTAGCGTTTATCCTTTTAATGCATATTACCACCTTCCTGCTTTACTTTGTGGTTTGCATTCAGACTGGCAGGATTGTGATGAATGAACCTATTTTATGGGAAGCGTTGACACATAGGTCTCCCAGCACCAGGCTACAAGGTGAGAGATGGGATCATTTTTTATTATATGTACATTCATAAAGATCCTATGTAAGGAAAGCAGCAGTGCTGAGCAGTCTGTACTATTTCTCTCTGTATCACCATAGAGTTGGGTTTTGCTTTTCAGAGTTGTTTCCAAGACATCATAAAAAGTGAAATGATGAAACTGGATGGATAGACAGTTCTTTGCCAGAGGATTTTGAGTATGGTGGTGTCTGGGGCTTACAGAAGTCAAGATGCAGAAGAGCTTTTCTCATACGGTTTTGTTGGAAAATCGAACCAGCAAGACTTAAAAACATAAACCTTTGCCTGTATGGCATACCTTTACGTTCAGCTGAATGCCCTCTAGCTCTCATTTTCCCTCCACTTTTTGAATTGGATCAAATGTTTGTTCAAAGTAATGCTGACTGACCACTGATGAGAGCTAAAGTGGTTTGTTCATCCTCATTGGCAGCTGCTGTAGCTGTCTGCTCATCTTATTGGGGTCAACAAAAACCAGTCATTGCATTGCAAACTATACCAGATATCCGACATGTTTGGGCCACTTTACGCAAATATACTAGATAAGATTTAAATTGCCTAGTTCTCAGCTGGTGGACAGATATGATCTTGAAGCTATATTTTTTGGAAGACAAACTAAGCTCTCACTACCCCACAAACCCTCCCCACCGCCACCGCCACCCCTCCTCCTGGCTGGCTGCTATGTGTTGCACTGTTGCCAGCCTGTAATGTGTACAATGTTGGCTTGAACCCTGCACTCTGAAGGGCCGCCAGCTTTCTGGCAGGGTCAGTCAGACCCTGGGATTTTGTTTAGTTTTTTTTTCCGCCCTGCAAGCGGCATTCTCTATGAGCTGCGTCACCATTTCCTCTCCGGTCTGGTCTTACATGGCGAGAGGAGGTTTATCCTGTTTGTTGCAAATCAGGAGCACTTGCCCGATACAACAAATATTGCTCTTTTATGGTAGCTCAGGACATACTCAAACACACACTTGAAAGACAATGAAATGCATGGACATGGTAGACAACAACAGTTTCGGTGGCTATTAATGTCACACACACTTGATATACAGTATATTTCTGCTGCACACAGCACGGTTTAAATGTTACATTGCAGACAAAGAGAGATAAGTTCAGCGCAAGTATTAAATAGAGCACCCCCCTTTTATTCCAATTGAAAATCCCCCATTTCCTCCTCCCACTACCGCTCCACCACCTCCCTGCTCCCATGCAGATGATCCCCCGCCTCCCGCACGTTGGTTCACTGGCGAGACCAGCTCACCATGTCGAATCAGCAAATGTGGGCAAGTATGTGTGCGTATGTGACAGGGGGGCGGGGGATCAGGAGAAGGGGTCATGCTGTGAGTGACGTTCCTGTGTGTAATCAGTGTAGTCTGTGTGTTCCCCACCCTGTCCCTCCCACGGCACGCCTTATGGGGCGGGAGGAGGGGTCCTCCACACATAGTAGGATTTATACAGTGTGGGTATGGGTGTGGTTTCAGTGTGAGGACATATAATAACAGAACAGGGGTGTGAGTAGTGGATTGTCTTGGGTCGCAGTGACAGCTGGAGAGGACAAACCCCCACAATGTCTTTATAACCCTACCACACACTCAGCAGCTGAACACACTGCGAGCCTCCCTCCTTCCATAGCATATTGTGTTACACTGTCATTAGCTCCTCCATGCTGCCACCTCAGTAGGGTTTGCCATGACTCTACAGCTACTATTTATAGGTTTCTTTCAATCACTATTAAAGCTGATCAGCATGATTGTAGAGATCTTCATTCAGCAGCCGCTTGTTGACACTAGTGCTGCAAACGCAGGTCTTTTGTAAAGGAACGTTCACAATTAAGCCTTCTCCAGCAGGGGTGGGTGGGTGTTTCTGCATTGTTGTACTGACTTGCACTCTGGATTCAGTTACCCTTGGGAGGTTGTGTCCACCAGCAAAAGTATGTGTGGCTACAGCGCTAAAATTATATGCAGCAGCCTAACTACGGCTAAAGGAAGCACCCTTTACTTTCCTACTACATTTGAGACAGTGAGGCTCTGTTGACCAAATCAGTGGAAATGGTTCTCCCAAACGGTAAACGTTTGGAGGGAAGCACGACTTGTTGCTAATATGCTGCTGCTTCTCTCGTCCTCAGGCTCGGATCAAGTTTCCCGTCGACTACCCGTACTCTCCACCTGCTTTCCGCTTCCTCACCAAAATGTGGCACCCAAACATTTACGAGGTAACTGACCAGTATCAATGCTTGGGCAAAGCATACAGCTCCTCGTTGCCTGTGTTAACACACTAGTGAGATAGTGTTATATAAGTAAAAAAAATATTAGCAGAAACACTTGATCATTGTGGTGTGAATCAACGAAAAACTTTATTTAAGAAGTTATTTTTAAATGTTAAACCTGTGCAGAAGAGTGTCCAGTCCTAGTGTTTTAATCTACATGTTAATAACAGAAATATTGTCTGAACAATTTTGTGTCCCTAGAACGGGGATGTATGCATCTCGATCCTGCACCCACCGGTGGATGACCCACAGAGCGGGGAGCTGCCTTCAGAAAGGTGGAACCCCACACAGAACGTCAGGTATGCAATGTGACGTTCTCACTTGATATGATAAGTGGGGTTACCATGTGTCCAGTCAGTGGCTTACGGCTGCCTCCTGAAAGGCAATTATTTGAATCATCAGCCAAAAGCCCCACAGAATCCAGCCCTCACTCTTTTAGGCAAATTAACAAGTGGCAATTTTTGTCCACGTTTATTCATTTTGACCTGACAAAGATCACATTGGTATCGAAAAGTTGTCTGTTTAAAATTAATCTGTGGCTTGGAGTCATTAAACTTTATTGATGCTGATTTCCAGTAGCTTTGCACCTTAACGTGACGTCACATAACTACCGTTCTCCTAGTGTCTACATTTAACCCCTTCGTGCAGCTTTTAGCCCATTAATGGAGGTGAGCATTACTAGGGCATGAGTTAGACTGATGCCATTTTCCAGGCAACCCTGGTTTGCCTGAATCAGCTTGTTGTGGTATGACTACTTGCAAAGACTTGAAACTTCCCCTAGTTTCCTTCCTTTTTGGGATTTTCTTACTGTTTTATTATTGTGTGCTATATGTAGCTGATGGCATCGGCTGTTTAAGTGTCTTTGCTGTAAATGTGTACAGTGGCTGTTTGATTCCAACGTTGAAGTCAAAGAAGAGAAACGAACCTCCAGATCGTTGCAGATGTGATTATAAAAACAGACAAACCTGCCACTCGCTCACATTTCTAGCCCAAGTTTTCCAGCCCATTTGTTATGCTTCTCGGATGATGTAGCATCCAGGAGTAGCAATGCTATGATTACATATTTAAGTGATTATTAGGGGGTGGCGACGGTGCAGTTGGTAAGACACATGCCTTTGGTGTGGGAGACCCTGGTTCAATTCCCACTGTGACACATCCACCATTGTGTCCCTGAGCAAGACACTTAACCCCTAGTTGCTGCAGAGGTGTGCAACATATATAGCAATTACAAGTCGCTTTGGACAAAAGTGTCAGCTAAATGAATAAATGTAATATAATATAGATTATTGACTCCTGTTCATGGACATAATTTAAAGCTACACTAACTGTTTAAGATCTTCTTTCAACTGACTACCAACTTTTTGCTGCTTTCCCATTTTCTCCCTCCTTCCTCTGCTTTTTCTTATATGCATGATGTATAGACACAAACTCTCATAGCTGGACATAACTGTCTCCTCAGTAATGGCCTCTCTGTAACCCCTGGGCTGTTGATCGCAACAACAAACACACATTTTGTCTTAAGGAGGAGGAGAGCTGGTGGAAAATCACAAGTTCGAAAACTGTTTTAGAGAGTCAGTTCAACTAGTTGATTCACCTCAGTCAAAGTAAAGTCTGAATAATGTAAAACACTGTTGTCTATTAGTATCTGGAGTGATCGGCTCTTGGAGCTAAGAGCTAAGCCAAATGGACGTTTAGCCGGCTGGTTGTCTAACCTTCATGTCTCTCTCTCTTTGTCCTTTCTTTCCATCTCTGTACACCTCTTTGTCCTGCACTCTCAATGTCTGCTGTCTCGTCTTACCTCCATCTTCTCTTCCTCTGCTTCCCTGTCCTCCTCCTGTATTGCTTTCCTGTATTTTAATCTCTCTGCGCTCGCTCTCAGGACCATCCTGCTCAGCGTGATCTCCCTGCTGAACGAGCCCAACACCTTCTCCCCGGCCAACGTGGATGCGTCCGTGATGTATCGCAAGTGGAGGGACAGCAAGGGCAAGGACAGAGAATACATCGAGATCATCAGGTACCGAGACCAAAAACCGCACACGCAGCACTCTTCACACTTAAAATGGGAACTTGTCAGTGTAGTAGGTACAGAGTACCAGCACCTCGCCTCACTGTATATATATGTATTTTTTCCCCTTCCTTCTCCACTATCCTTCACTCTTTCTGCCTCACAGGAAGCAGGTGTTGGCTACCAAAGCTGACGCAGACCGGGATGGCATCAAGGTTCCCATCACGTTAGACGAGTACTGTGTCCGCACCCAAGTCCCTCCTACAGATGACGGCTCCAACCTCCTATACGATGACTACTACGACGACGAAGAACTGGAAGAGGATGACGAGGACGATGACGAGGACTGTTGCTATGACGAGGACGACTCAGGCACCGAGGACTCCTGACCACGCCTTCCCCATGATGCCCCCCCGTCCCCCCCGATCAGCACCTGGCCTCACCAACCCCTCCCCCGCACCTCTGTGTCATGGACTGAACTTTAATTCCCTGTCCCCCTTCTTCCTGAATCCCACCAATCCTTCATCATCCTCACTTAGCACAGAACCCCTGTCCACCTACTCAAACCTGATGCATCAAAGAAAAGAAAGCTACACAGTTTGTTTTGTTTGTTTGTTACATGTTACAATGCTTTTATTTTTTTAATTTGTTGTCTGATTAGAGGTTACACACATGATGCACACACAGCAGCACAACTTACAGTAATAGAACTGAGAACCTGTTTTGTTCCTCAAAGGCGTTTTAGCTCCAAGACCTATTTCCTCCTCCGCCTTTGAGTGGTGCAAAGCCTCTCTAATGGCCAGGTTTCTTGGCTAATGATTGGTCACGCCTTTTCTGTGCATCATCAGCAGGGTGGAATGTAACGTCACAGGTCGGATCAGAGTCAAACAAGCAGAGAGCATAAGGAAGCTTATTCAGGAAAACTGGCATACGGTATGCGTGGTTTGAAAGGCTGAATCACTTCTGTCTCTGAGCCATGTGTATGACCTCTGGTTAGCAGGCTGTTTGAAGCCCTGCCGCGCTTCACCTCTGACCTTTTGAGCCCTGGGGCTTGTGCAGCTCCAAATAGGGAAGCTTTCCATTTTAAAAAGGTGTTCACACGCCCCTTGTGCCTTCCCTCACTCCCTGAAACCACAGATCTGGACGACTCGTGGTGCAGAGCATATACACAGCGGGTCAAAGCAAACCCCATACCAGCCAGACAAACAAAGGTGGCAGAGGGAGATATTCAGGCTCAAAAGGTCCCAGGTGGGCAAAGGTTTCGCCTTCCCGATGGAACGACCTTGGATTTATTTATAGCAGCACCTGTCTTATTTGTCCAGGGCGTGAGTGAGAAAGGTAAAATCCAACAGTTGAACTAAAGAATGGAATGTAGATCAGAAATCCCACAGACATCCTCTACTGACTGCCACGCAGCCTTCATCACACAAGCACGTGCTACTAGTGGCCTGGATGCATTAAGGAACAGCAAGCTGAGTCTGCTGCTGCTCATGAAATCCAATGTACTGTATTAAAAAAACTATGCAGTCAGTGCTTGAACCTACTTAATATGCAGTGCTTTAAACGTGGCAGTAACAGTCTGACCTAAACCCCCAGCATGAGTTTTACAAGCCAGCTATGTACCTGTGAGGGCTGTGGGCTGACCGTGTCCTCGGTTAGAGATGGATGTGTGTAGTTGTATCTGTCTTTATGTTTGTCGGTGGTTTGTTATCCTAACTCAGAGTAGCACAAGTCTATAGAGAGGAAGAAAGTGAGATTGTATACTAGCCTTCATCAGAGCTCGGCACCTAGTGGTGGCAGTGTGTACAGGCAGTTAGCACCCCCCCACCCCCACCCCCGAAATGCTCGACTGGGCCGCAGCCATCTTGACTCACCTGAATCAATGAACCCTGTTACCTCAAAGGCAGCAGTGGGAATGATTTAGGAGAATGAAAATGACTGACAGGGTTTAGCTTTCAGCCTACACCCTCAAAAGCCCAGTGGTTTCTTCTCTCCTAAGTGACAGGAGTGCTCTGTTGCACACTCGAGACACTTTACCACCATCCAGCAGTATTTCCGATGTAATTCTCATCATTGCTGTAACCATGTTTCCCGTGTGTGTGAATATTAGCCGATCGTTTATAAGATGTGCTGGAGATGAAGCGCAGAAAATGGGAAGGCATGGGGATAGGGTTGACCTTTGAGCATGTACAGGAGACTGTGGTTCTTCACTAGCATGCTGTTATGTGTTTGTGGTTTTAGATCTGCTATAAGGGTCGGGATTGTGTCCAGGGACAAAGGTCCTCTACTCAATTTTATCTAAAACTGTTGCATTGTGAATTGGCTGAGGGTTGTCTGTGTTTTTTTAGGGTGGGGGGGGGGCTTTTTTTACTGTCTAAATGCAATCTTTTATTTCCAAATTGTGGCATTGGGCTGCAATGTTTTCTATCTCATATGTATTAAGTACTATGGATATCGACCCGATTGTTTAAAAACCCAGTATTGTTCAAGAATGAATAAATGTACCAACTTATTACACACAAATATGAAACAGCAGAAACATATTGCAGAACCAAACTGTACACCATACAGTAAGTATTCTTGCCTGTAATCAAGCCCTGAATGCTCAGAAAGAAGTTATCAATACACAATAATTTGCTAAGGTCCAGCCTATGATTGACCCCCGCATGTTGATGTCTTAGGGTGAATGGGATTTCATTTTTGTCAAACTACTGTTATTTTTTATCGTCTTTCCTCCCCATTCGTCCTCTTAGTTCTCTGATTGGTGGCAGCATCAATGAGGGGGGAAAACCCAGCAGTTAATCACAGCAAACCTCAGGAAAAAAACAAAACAAAAAAACAACTACCAACCAACCAACAAACATCCTTTTCCAGCTGAGTGATCCTGACCCCGGGGAGTCTCACTTTTAGGCTTCAAAGGACTGTTTACAATCTCTACCTTGATATGCACATGTGGATATTGACGATCACTTGATGGTTTTTTTTTTTTCTTGTTTATATTTTCTTTTTTCTTATGGTTTGTAAATCTATTTAAAATCTGAAATAAAGATCTTTATTAGATATTGACAGAGTTTTATTGAAGTGTGGAGAAAATGGTTGAGTTTTATTTTTTTTATTAAAGGGTCTGATTGGTTTCTTCCTCTTCTGTGATCTCTTATAGACACTGAAATGGTGTGAGTGAATGACATTTTAGTGAAATTCAGGACTTGCTCTGAGAGGTAAGACTTGTGTCCTTCTTTTTATCACTTTCAATTAATGTTTTTTTCTAAACAATTCAGTGGAACTACAGTGTGATGAAAGTGCATGATGAGACCTGTACCCAGTAGTCACCCTGCTAGATTCTGGGGGTGGTGGAGACTTTAAAGGATTTCCTGATGCTTTCCATGCTTTCATGTTATAAAAGTGGGGAATTTAGGAAAACAACTTTTCTAAATGGACATTGTTTGTTTTTCCTTGTCTTCTGTTCCCTTCTTCACTCTAGGAAATGTAAAGTCTTGGAAGACACGGTAAGACATTTCTGTGTGTTTTGTGAGAACTCCTTATTACTTGCTAGTTAACTTAGCCAGTCTTGCATGAAATAATCTTTTTTTGACATGTAGTGAAAAAGATCAAGCATGTACAAAATAGCAAACAATACACTGAGAAAGTGAGAGAGTTATGTTGGGTTTTGACTTAAAGCCTTGTTTGGTTCAACTCCTTTAAGACTATGCTAGTATCTGATCTTTAAAACGCCACATTCCTCCTCTGCATGCAAGTGCCTTAAGTTTGTACATGTTTGCCTCCCATGAAGCACACCATTATCTCAATAAAAGTGTTAACAGTGTGGCTCTATGGACGCCAGTGTCAGTTTGCCGGGCCGCCAGTGTGATGCTGACTGAAATATTTCAAACAACTACTGAATGTCATGAAATTTGGTTCAGACATTGATTGTGCCCAGGGGATGAATCTTACCGACTCTGACTTTTCCTCTTCTACCGCCAACTGATTGGCATGTGGATTTGGGCGAAATGTCTTAACTTTTGGAAGGATTACCATGACATTTGGCACAGACATTCATGTCCCCCTCAGAATGAGATCAGAGTTTGGTGATCTTCTGATCCTCTTTTTATTCAGCACCATTAATGTGACAAAATCATTTGTCAAACAATAAACAATTACAATCATGCAGTTGAGGACATTTTTGAAAACATCTCATCCTCCTTTCTTGCAGATGCTTTAAGGAATGAATGTGATCCTGGAAGAAAACTGAGGTAAGACGTTGCATGTTCTTGCGTGAATAACTCCACAGAACCCCCAAGTGCAGAATAATAACTTTTTCTTAGTCGAGACTCATACTAACTGCTTCCAGTGGTGGGCTCTTGTGTGTTTTTCCTCAGCTCTAATAGATAAATCCCTTATTTTAGTGTGACTTGCAGCTCTCAGTTTGGTGTATATCTGGTCTGTTGTGTGAGGAGTGAGTATGATGAGATCTTTACCCTGCAGTCACCCTTGTGACCTGGGTGGTGGAGATTTCCTGACGCTGTCTTGCCTGAACTCTTCCACCAAACTATATGCTTTTAGAATTAATTTTGTAACTGCTTCATGCCTCTAGGGGGCAGCAACAGATTGTTTCTTGTTAAATTTGAGCTGTCTGTGGTGTGTAAAAAACCCAGTGACCGCAAAGGTAATCGATTTAAGAGTCAAAACGGTCTCTCACATGAGTATAATTTTTTAGTTTAATTTTTCAAATGTTACCAGAGTCTAATAAAGTGTGTTTCTCTTGTTTTCTCAGCTCAAACCTCTGCATTCTGCAATCAACAGAAGCTGAAGGCCACAATGTTTCCCTGCCTTTGTGCTCTAGTCGAGGGTTCCGCCATTCCCTTAGAAATAGGGAGTAGTATGTGCCATATACAGTATTTCACCCTCTCACATCAAAGTGCCAAATTATCTTCTGGTCATTTCCACTTATCTCATAACCCACTGCGACTCTGTAACCAGACTGCCAGAGTTACTCATATGCCCGTGCCCTCTTATGCTGCTCCTGCACATGAATTATCTCTATTATCTCCACTTTCTTATTTCTTCCTGGTAAAGCTGACCCACCTCTGGCTGCCTGTAATCTGCCACTTGAAAATGAAAATCATCGATCTATGAAACGCCATGAAGGAAGTTTCACCTGCCAAAAAAAAAGTAATCAATATACTGTGTGCCGGTGTTTCAGGCCAGCTCTGTGTGTAATCTTTTCTTTCTGCAATCACTGGTGGGGTTTTGTTTGTTTGTTTGTTTGTTTTGGGGGTTTTTTTTCATCCTTTTACCGACCCTCCCGTACACTTCTAGGTCATCCCGTCAATCTCCCCCCATAGAGATGTACGTCTTTGCTCCATCAAATGTGTTTACTGGGGCGACAGGTCTGACCTTTTGCCCTGCGTGTGTCCAATCCAAATGCCAGTTCAGCGGACCAGAAAAAGCAAGACACTCAAATGGTCCTGGCATTTGCAGAATTGCTTCTCTCTCAGTGGTTTCTTTGATACTAGGCACAGTTTTTTTTTGTCTGGAAAGGATAACACTCTGATTAAACTGCAGGGTATAAACCCAACTACTGGATCAGAGCCAGATGTTACAACCCACACTGGTGACCTTGAGTCACGTGTTACCCCGTCCTCTTACACCAGCTGGCAGTTGGGCAGCGATATCCAGGCTCCCAATGGGTGGGCTGAGTCAGAGCCCTCAGGGACCTGAAGATAGCTGGACGTCTCAGGGAATGAGCAAACTGGGTGAACTGTAGCAGATAGGAGAGGTGAAGAAGTGTGAGATGAGGAGAATAGAGAGTTGGTTAGTGAGGCAGGGATTGATTCATATGTCAGGATAGGCGATGTCTCCAAGGCAACAGAAGTTGTGTGGAAGCGGGTTGGCAGGAAGGAGAAAGGTGGATGGCAACAGTCGGAGAAGTGGGGTAAAAATGGATGTTATGACGTGTTGTCCATAATGAGTGACCATATGTGCTAAGAGTCAATGCAGACCGACACACACAGTATAAAGGAACATGAGGTCCACTACACCTCCTGCAGAGCCTTTGTGCAGTTCCTGGTCAGTCTGACAGTCTTCTGCATACACTGCCTCCATTCCTCCTTCCTATTCTTCCAGGAAGTCAATAAGACGTCAGGGGGGAAGATGCCGCGCCACAGTAGTGAAACGATCTCCTTCAGCTGCTTTTCTCCCCCACACGTAATTGCTCGTCACTGCCTATGTGTTGGTACATCTGTCTCTCCACCGAGAGGACAGACAACATACTGAAGGTCTTCTGTATTGCTCAAAGAGGAAGTGCACTGCTGTACTTTTGGGTTTGTAAAGGCCTCTGTGTTGGACAGACAGAGATGTAGGGTCCAGCCCCTTAATGAGAGCAGAACAGACACATTAACCTTTTCTCTGGCTGTAGTCTGTCCTTGTCTCATCAATGCTGCAGATCCTCAGATGCTTGTGTACAGATCTCATTATTTTGTAAAAGGAAGCTGTTCACAGTGTGAGCCCGAAGTGGTTTGACATTCAAATATTCCTCAGCAGATATTCTTCCCATTTTAATAAACTTTAATATTTTTTTTCCATTTACAAGGTAGTCTTTGATTGTTTTTTTTCTTTTTCTTGACAATAAATGGGGTTTATCTTGTAATTGTTGTAAATGGACTGCACTTGTATAACGCATTTCTAGCTTTTAAGCTATGTCACATTCACCCACATTTATACACTGACGGCAGAGGCTAAGGTGTCAACTGCTCATCAGAAACTGAAATCAACATTCACACACCAATGAAACAGCTATCAGGACTAATTTAAGGTTTAATGTCTTGCCCAACGACGCCTCGACAGATGTTGGACGTTGGAGTATCGAACCTCGGATTTTCAGATCATTGTAGTATTAAAACATTGTTTGAAATAGTCGAGGGGCAGAAAACAAATTACCAACAATTAATTAATAGTTCATTTTTTCAAGCAAGGAAACTCAAACATTCAGGGTTCAAAACTTCTTTTTTATGTCTGTGAATTTTTTATTTAATATTTACTTATAGTTTTTTGTAGACACAGGTACACAACATTTTGGAGATTTTAAGGCACTGATGCAGAGAGTGTGGACATAAATTGTTGAATATCTACATAAAGCCTCATCAAAAGTTGAAACAAAATGTGCAAAAATCTCATTCAGACCTCATCAATACACATCCATGTGCATTTTCTCTGTTTGTTTTATCACTTTTCACATTTTTGAGGTTTTTGTAAAGAGAGGTAAGTGAGGAAAAAATTCTGGTGATCCATTGTCTAAGTCTGATCTAATAGTTTTTTCTCCTTTGTTTATGACTTTATAAAAGGTGGAGAAAAAAAGGTTTTGGCAGAATAATAAGGAACTTTTTGGTTTTGGTGAAATATATTTTTTTGTCAGGATAATTTTTCAAGATCAAGCGTTTGCTGTTGTAATACTCATTTTGGCTACAAGGGGCTGAAGTGCACCACTTCAGGTTAGCATTAAAATACATTTCTATCCAAAAGAAAGACATGCGTAAAGAGACAAATTGCCTGCTAACACACAATAAATGTACCTTAAGTTTAGAGTGCATGGAGGAATTAAACTCACCTGGAAGAAAACAACACCTTTTAAAACGTTTACTTGACAAGTGCACCAGGTTGAGTGTCTGTAAGGTGCTGTGTGAGTGCTGCCTGTCTCTCTGCTGGTTTCAGATAACAGACAGCAGGGGGTGAGGGTTCAAATGTGCCTGCAATCTATATGGTAAGTGGCTTCACAGGCTGATTACATCAGACAGTGACCTCAGAGGACCTAAGAAGGCAAGACTTGTAATTATCTCCTCTCAGTGCTCGAATAGCTCAACATGGTTTAAAGTCGCTATAGGTTGAACCGTAACATCCAGGTTCATGTTGACCAGCTGGTGAAGAATGGTATGTTATGGGTTTATCCTCCTCTAGGGATCCAGATTTCTACGTGTGTGCATATTTTATTGTTATATGCACCTCAAACATGCATATATAATTTATTAGGCTACTTTTACATTTGCATTATGTGTCTGCTAACACAGTTTTCTGCCAGCATTGGAACAGTTTTCATTTCATGACAGATTTCTCTAATTGGGCTTTTTCCCCTTTGCTTTCCCTGGTTTGAAGTGTGCACCAATCAGGATTTGGCAATATTTAAATGAAAATGTGATGATAGGTGTGTGGTTGTTTGGTTATGTTGCAAGGCCACTGTCAATTAAATCTGATCAAAATGCGCACACGTTTCAATATGAGGCAATCACATGCAGGATATCATCGACCTACAACAGGTGGACACTTTTTATTGGTTGAACAGGATTGCAACTTTATTGGATAATGGATCCAGGGTGGGTGCCAGAGTCAGTATCCAAGTACCAAACCACATTCATTAACACTACATCAGAAACAAAAGAGCACATACCTTGAAGTTACAAAGACAGAAGTACAATCAAGTGGAATGAATTAGAAGAAACATGACAAATTCAGTTCTTCATTAAAGGCCAAATGGCTTAACTGTGCCTCTCCACAGAGCAGTAAGTGGATAATGGGTGATGTTTTATATTCCCCAATAATGCTGCAGAGCAAATATTCAGGTCCCCCTCTTGATGATTTTTAATAACTTTGGTGATCTCCTCAATTTTCATCCATAAAATCATCAGATAAAAATAAAATTTTGTTAAATTCTTTGGTCTATTAAACAAATTTCTTCAAAACCAATGACACTCCCATCAGCCTCAGTTGTAGCTACCGTTTTGCTAAATACAGTCTATGGTTGTAGCCCACATTGTGTTTAGTGTTAATTAGCGAATGTTAGCATGCTAACACACTAAAGGCAGATGGTGAACAATATAAAAAATTAGCCTACCTGCCAAACATCAGCATGTTTAGCATTGACAATGTGAGATGATAGCATGCTGACATTAGCATTTAGCTCAAAACAGCAGTTAGCATTGCTGTAGTGTCTTAATCTAGTTTCCCCCTAACTTTAACTTTGATTGTTGCTTTTGTAGTCAAGAATATTGTATGTTATAGAGAAATACTTTGATTCTAATACATTTTCATGTGCTTTAAACAAGACTGACATTCTAATGAAAGTTAAACCCAACATCTTATTTTGTCTACTGTAAGGCCCTGCTTATTGAAGGCTACTCTGCTACCTCCCAATTTGCTGTGACAAGAAGGGCAACTCCATCCAGAACAATCAAGCTCATTTCATTTTCCATCTGGGTGAGGCAGAGACCGGCAGAGCTGACACCTATTTTAGGGATATCCACATTAAATGTCTGTTTATCAGCTGTTTGTAAAGCTTTTGTTGCCACTGTCCTCACTATCGCCAGATATTGACATTCACAGCAGTTGAAATCTGTAAATTTCTAAATGCCTTCCTGTCAAGTCAGTGCAGCACTGTTATTGGCTCTATGCAACTGATCTCTGATAAAGCAATGGCTGTACCCCTCTCCATCCATGGCTTACATGGCACTTGACTCAAAACCAAGCAATCTGGACAAATAAAATGCTTTCTGTCCTGCAGATCAATAAAGTCAGTGGGGCCCTTCCTATTTTAGACACATTATTTGTTGCCATAGCAAAGTTTCCAGGGAAACTGATCAGTCGTTGTAAACCCAAAGACAGACTAAAAAAGAGAAGAAAAAGGATAAAAAGCTTCTGTAATTTGATTAAACCACACAGGTGCACGTGCTCCACACAGCATTGTCTGCTCTGCGGCGTTTACATTTCCTGGTCAAATAGTCTTATTATATATAATGATTTGCTGACACACAAAAGCTCTGGGTTGTCTGTGCTAGTGTGTGTGTGTGTGTGGGGGGGGGGGGGGGAATCTTCATGGATTTAATGGTGCTCATGTCCTTGGTTGAAAGTTTGATTTGATTACTAAGAGAGCGTGTCATGTTAGGCCAAAGGACTGAAATACAACAGAGTGGAAATAATTAAAAATGTGAACTGTTTATAGAAAACAAGCTGAGTGAGTGACCATCCTTGTTCTTATATCCAGGTTATGTGATAAACTAGGCCTTGCAGTTTTTTTTAAACGCACTATTAAACCCACAAAACATAATGATTTGTTCAGTATCAACACTGACTGTTAAAAAATTGGACGTGATTTAAGATTTCCGTTCATCTGATATGTAACCAGTGTGATGTCTAGTTGCTTCTGCTGGGAAACTCACAGTTTGATCTTATTGGTCAGCTGCAACCCTGTGCCGTCTATAAAACGCGCGACAGGAGCTCCGGAGCTGAGACCGTCTGAGGGCGCAGAGCAGCACCGCAGAGCGCACAGGCTTACCCAAGGAGAAAACACCTGTTACTGTAAGAGCAAGTCGACAAAGAGGAACGTGTCCTTTCCTGTAGTGCCGTAAGTATATTATTAATACATTTGTACAGACAGGAGCAGTTAGGTCCCGAGACTACATGAAGACACTGGATAGAGGTTTTGGAAAACGGACTGGTGCGCAATTGGAGGAAGCGTTTTAGCACTTGTTGAATTCGTTTGTAACTTTAATAAAAGATTGTTCTTCAACTTTTTTTGCTTAAAACTCACAAGTAAATATGATCTAAAGAAGCAGAAAGTAATCTGCGGATATATAATTAATTGTTAGATAGGTGAATTAATCTTCCATCCATCCATCCATCCATCGTCAACCGCTTATCCTGCGTACAGGGTCGCGGGGGACTGGAGCCAATCCCAGCTGACATTGGGCGAAAGGCAGGGTGCACCCTGGACAGATCGCCAGTCCATCGCAGGGCTGAATTAATCTTACCAATCTTATTAATCTTGTTTTTTTCTGACCCTTCTTTTCACCATCAGACCTTGTATGTTTTAGAAAAAGTGAAAGCCAGAATCAAATCTGAATTGTCTTATTTAAAGGGAAAAAATAATATATATATATATATTATATTTCATGTTAATACAATGCTGATATATATCAAAATAAAGAATGTGTCTCTAAATGTAGTCCTTTAATAATATCAAGGTCAAGGTAGCCCCTTTTGATGTTTTTAGTCTATTCCTTGAATGATTCTATATTTACACTAGCAATCAAGGAAGCCATTCTGCATCTAAAAACAATTATGACTGTGTTTCCTTTGTTGTAAATATTGTAATACAATTGAATTCTGGTTTATTTTGTATCATTTGTCTGTTCAAAGACCTCACATTGCTGCCTATTGAGACATGTTGCTGTTTAGTTCCCCTTTCCTAAAAATGCAAAAGTAAATGCAGCTCTTCAAAGAAAGTATTTTTGAAGCTAAAGTGTCTTTGCAAGAGCTTTTATGCCACAGCATGTGTAGTCAATAGCTCCAAAAGTACAAGCTTAGATTCAGTGTGCTGTATATAATATATATTCCAATAAAAATGTTTCTATTTGTTCAGTCTTAATCCCTTAAATTCTTGAGGTTTCATCACAGACTGCACATCAGAGCTTCAACATCTAGCCTAGGGGTTATTTTTATCTCCCTGTTCCCTGTGGACGAATAATCCTCTGATCATTGACGTCTCCCTCCTGTGTGTTATTAATTGCAGACACACCTGACTGCACCTACTCCACACGCCCACACAACCCACTGT